AATCCTATATGAATTTCAGCTATGGAGTAGTACGTGCCCCAAGACAAAAATTATCTGGAAGGTTTGTATTTCATCTTTATGAAGTTAAATATTTACTATGAACTACCTAGAGCAAGACCTTTCAGTTACATCCACTAAGAATCTTTTAAACCATAAGGATAAGGGGAAAATTCCTTAAAAGAGGGGTTTTAAACAAAAAGTAGAGAAGAATAGTGGTAGTGAGCACAGATCATTGATATGAAAATAATCAGTCTCGCTAAATAAACAGTTAGAAAATTGTAAGCTGAATATAAAGCATACTATTCCTTTTATATATGCAATTGGATAGATTAGGCATATGAAGACTACGCAGTACAAGAGCTTTAAAATAAAGTTCGGGGGTAGGAAAACAATGAGTCTTTTTGAAACATAGTTTAAGATCATTAATCATGTTTCTCTTTTTGCATAAATAAACGTTTTTACAAACCCAACTGGTGACGTACTTTCAAGTTTTTGTAGGTCGTAGATAACAGCAGTCTTAAGCAACTTAGATGTATTCACGAATCGCTTATTATCACACTAAACCTTCCCTAGTGAATGCAAACTTGAAGCCAAAAGTCAATAAACTATTGTTTTTCCCTCACTGTTTTGAAAGAAATATTTTCTTTTCTAAATCTAAGCAAACAGAACGGTGATGTAATACATATGGATCACAAAGATGATATCTTCATAAATGGTATATAGATATTCTCATTAATCCCTTTTCATTTTTGAGCACCTTAACTTTATCACAACTTATGGAAATACTTGCGATCAATACATCAGTGATCAGGTTTTATACACGTATAGGTTAAATATGTGGAGAGTGCACGAGATTGTTTAAACCACTCAAATTAAGAATAATATTCCCTTTATATCACTTTTTATATATTTTATACATTCTTCTAAATACTTGTAAAAACGAACGTTGTTTACCTGTACAACTTAAAAATTATAATTTTGGTTGCGGCGATACCACTTTGCTTCTGCTTTTAAACATGGAAATATAGTGCACTTCCATTCACTCCAACTTCTGCCTCCTTTGACTATTGTCTAACGCGAACACTCATCAACTGTCTTTGAATTTTACAGTTCTCATCTTACTTCCAAATATCACGATAATCAAGCCAACCAACGTCGACCTTGAAGTGTTAACAAGTATCACTTTCTGAACTAATACTGGGGTATATTAAATTGTGGTGGACAGTAACGAAGAGATAATATTCAAGTAATTAATTACTATCCATAACACTGATATTACTATTTTGTGTTATAATGCATAACTTTTCATATTTGTGTATCATCGAATCTATTTTAGTTAATTATAAATAACTTGAGATTTTGGCTTACTTGACATTTCTTTGGGTTCACTACAAATACATCTTGCGATTCAGACAAACTAGATCGTTTTATTGTGGGATAGTTATTAAAGTGAACTAAATGCCTCATCCAGATAAGGTTAAAACAATAATGAACTCCTATGTCTTACTTCCTTAATAGTGCCTTCATGAAACATCAGAAGTTATTCTAATCGACTCCATCGTGTTATATGTCAACTGAATGAACTTAGACTGATACGCAGTTGGCAAATCTTGTAGTTTGAAAAAACATTACAATACAACAGCACAAAATTAAGGTGCTCAGTGTTATCGTTAAGCCTTTAGTTAAGGTAGATAGTAGTGCATTCAAGAAACGATAACTAAATATACCATCATTCTGTTATACTTAGTTGGCAAAAACCTGTATAACATTTCGTGGGATAACTTCAAAGAAGGCTAATCAGCGCTAATATAATTATGATTAACTTGTTTACAGAAAGCTGAGTGGAAACGATCAGGCACCATTATGGAAAGCAGATGACAGTGAAGCACTTTAATTGAAGAAAAACAATTAGATTTTCTGGAAGTTATGTTCGACTACTCTTTTGATTAAAACTACTAATGAAACAGCTACGATGTGGAAACATAACTGTATAAAAGCTTATAAACTTATTCAAGGCCAAAAACATCTCTTAAAAGTTTTAAGAACAGACTGGAGAATAACACTGTTAAGTAAGACCCACTTGTGCAAATCCACGGTGCCTTTCTCTTAAAATATTATTATTTGCGGCGCATTGTTCAATCCCGATATCATCTACTCTGCAAATTTGGATTTTGTAAGGTAAATACTTCCAAAAGAAATGACAAGTTTAAAATAGCTTATGCCGAAAACAGGGTAATCATCCAGTTTGTTTCAAGCAGTGCTTAGCATATATCTAAATATGTGGATCTGGTTAGTGATCACAGATCATTGGTGTCAGCAACCAGTGAATTTACTCAGCAGTATACACCTCAAGATTTTAGATACCTGATTAGACTTCACCTTTTGCTTTTCTACTCAAGTTGTTAAACAGAATAAGGTTGTTTTAATTAGTTCAGTTGTCTGACCTGGATAATTTCAGGCACAACACCAAATGAGATAAGTTCCCGACAGAGAAAACGGTCATTTTGGCGCTTAGATTGTTCAAAGGAACTATTAAATGAGGTGTGTTTATATTAACAATATGTTTTCCCATGGCAAACAATCACGTAATATTAATGATGTTACCGAAGAAAGTGCTTGAATTAGGATTCTAACCAAAGGTTTTCGGTTCAGATACACTGTGCTTCATCAAATAAATATATTGGCTCCTAAATGCCACCCTACCAGTTGATGAAATAACTATTTAAGTTTTTGTTTGGCAGTCACACGAATAACATTTGTGAGACGAAGAGGACTGAGTGATTATTTCAATAATTGCTCAAGTGGCCTTTAAACAGACTATGTGAAAGTTAATCAAGTTTGTGTCAACATACTTTTTGCAGAAACATTTTGTTTAGCTACTTATGAAGTTATTAGGTAGGCAAAACACTTCTTACAATTTATTAAATCAAGTGTTTTGTTAAAAAGTTGAATAGGCTTAGCGATTATTCTAAAAACTAAAGGCAATAAACTATCATCAACCGAGGATAATATATTGTGGCAATAAACGGCGATTGATTCTTAATCGGTTTAGATTGAAGTAGTCAGGAGGTAGGAAACAACGAACAGTAGTTCGTAAAGTAACAAAAAAAATAAGAATATGTACAGCCTATCCACCCTGCTACTGCATAAACATCTGTTGAGGAAATTGCGTAACACCAATGATGAATTTGACACACAAGGTAGCTTGATACTTGTAGATATTAAGACCAGTGATCCTGATTGGTTGTTTCCCCGTGTCTCTATTCTAACATCGCCTTCTTTAAAATGATCAGTATGATAATCCTTTCAGAATCACCTTTGATGCAGTTGAAATGTTTCTGATTCATCTGTTGTTTCGAAAACGATATGAATCGTGGCAGACGGCTGTCAGTTCACAGGTCTCCATCAGAATGTTTATTTCACAACTAGAGGATACAGTAACTGGATTGTTATTACTCTTAGGCTGACCTATTCGTTACTGTTAATGTCTCATTAAAACCTCTATTTTCACTGCTTTCCTCTTTGACACCATCAAATTCAAAATATGTTTTCACTCTATGTTTACTTGCTGACGGATATCCCCATAGTTTTGTAGTGCACCCTCTTGGCGCTAAAACACTGCTAGGTTTAAAATAAATAAGTAAACATTTAAATAACAGCTAATTAATCTTTCACGATATCAACGAGCAACTTTAGTCCTCTAAGTCTGTTTCACACGCACTGACATCCGCTATTTTTGCGACGTCTTTATTCTGGTCGGCAGCAACTATCTCACAGTCCTTAGCTTAGCCATTTATAGAAAGACAAGTTAACATTCTCCCCCAATATAACCTCTTTCTCTCTGAATAATAAATAAACCATTTGTCTGAGTACGTTTTACTACATAAAGTGTTTTCTGTCTTTTGTTATCAGTACTAAACTGTGGGTAAGATACTGATTTACTTGGGCACTGGCTGTCGTAACTCGGTGGCCCAGCAGATAACGCTCTGGTATTTGAAGAGGTAGGTCCTGAGTTCGAGTCTTATTGGGAATAACATCATTCACTGGGAGACAGGTACACCCAGCTGACGAGTCCCAAATAAAATGAAATGCACGTCTTGTATTTCACTGCTAATCACCACCCATCATTACTGAAAACATGTTAACTGGCATTGCGAGTAAACGAAACCAAAACACTCTGGTTTAAGTGTTATGCTACCGCGAGACCACTCATACCACACAGCATCTGGATACGCGAATATTGCCTTATCAGGAAAGTTTGTTGAAGACGCAATGAAGAGAACTCAGTTGAAAATACATCCTAGCTAGGAATACCTAGTAACCACATTCAATGGGTGATACTGTTTCGTCGCGAAATCTGAAGACAAGTATCTAAGTCAATGGTTCATACTTCCATATGCTTAGTTACAAGAAGTAAGAAGTTTGATATACGATTGCCAGTTCTACTTCCTGTTCATGAAGTGCGTAACTCACAGATATCATGCTACATACTGAAGGTGAGCTTTCCCAGCTTGTGGAGAGAGTAGCGCGATTACATGTAACCTGAGTGGTATTTCATTTCGGTTACCTTTGAAAAACCGAAACGGTTAAACTGTAAACTCTGGCTTGCTTGATACCCAAAATGGTATCAAGAAAGCAAGCAGAAGTGAATGACTACTGATATGAGCAGCTGGAAACCGTTTGCAAGTACTGCGGAAACTTGACAGATAAAACTGATTGAAACACCATACAATCTGGTTCATCACTGGTGATCTCCTCCATAGACTCGTCAAATGGCCATAAATCAGTTAAGTCAAATGTCAAATGTGTGTACAAACTAGATATGCTATACTTTTTGTGCTTGATAATAACCGTCATCGTCGAGTACTAACGTCTTAAAGTCAATTAGAGGAGATAGCAACTTTTACCCGATACAGTTTACTGCAACCATACGTTAACAAGTAGCCACCTCCGGAAGTTGTACTACTTTACCATACAATGATAGACTATTTACCACCCACTGCTTTTCGTAAACTTGAACGCTAAAGTGGCAATACTCAGAAACTTTCGTAATGAATGGAGAAGGATCAAACCTAGAAGCAGTAAAACTGATGCGTGCCAAACGCACTTGTTGTAGTGGTGTTTCCTAAAAAAAACCCATCCACTACAATATAAACTTCGCATCGTATAATTTAAAAATAACCTTCAGCAGTCACAATAATAACTCATTCGAACAAAAATAAGCCATTTCAGCCTATTTAGAGAAAGAATACAAGCGGACAATTCTCAGGTCAATACTGCAACGTAGAAGAAAAATACTGTACAATAAATGAAGAGCCAAAAAAGTAGATGATTAGGACAAAAACAAGCTCAAGTGATTTGATTACAGCGACATGTTACGACCTTCAATACTCATTGGAACAGCACGAGCAGCTTTGGCATGACTCCTACGAGCAATGTTACTTAAATTACGTATATGACTTTCAATACGTGAAGTAGCGCCAAAGGCAGAAGACCCTGGTTTTCGGCGCCGACGAGAAAGAGACTGAGATTCCTCAGTGCGATCATCGTTACCTTCTTCATCATCTTCATCTCCAGTAGGATTTTCCCGCACACGCCATTTTGGTCGGATAATGTAGTCTTTGTTTGATGGTTGAGGAACTCGTGCCCTACCAATCCATCCGGGATCTCCAGGTCTTAAAAGTCTATAAAAACGGAAAAGAATCAGAAAATTGAACTTGTAAAAAATGATGCCCTCCACTTAAACACAACCACTCTACAAACACGTTCAAAACATTCTATATATGTACAGCCACCTAGAAATGCAGGAAAAACTAATCCTCCAAAACTACCCAGACAAAAGATAAAAGGATATTAATGACAATAATAACTATTTTGTGGCCAAAATGTTGATAGTCTTTTCACTGTGACCAACATATGAAAAACAGTATTTATGAAAAAAGAACTTCAACATGATAATTCCGAAAGAGATGAGCGAACCAGCTGTATCCTAATTTCCTATGATGTGAAAACTGGATAAATAAGTTAAGTCATGCATCAGCACCAGTCTAATGCAAAAAATGGAAAAAGGGAAGTACAGACGCTATATCATATTCAGGCAATAGAGAGATTGTGAACAATTCCAAATCAAAATGTGACTAGGACTGCATATGTAGTATAAAAGAATATCAATACCCTTTAAAATGATGAGCATACCCTTTTTAGTCTAACAAGGTGGTGCCGTAACAGTTATAGTAACTCCCTAGAATCAAGTGAACGTTAACATGAGTAACGCAAGCAAGAAATACGTAACTAAACACGCATGTTAATTCTAAAATCGGTATCTTACTTTGCTACTAACAGAAACAATCTTCCTCGACAGAAGACATTTAAAGCTTTTAGGTAGAAATAAAACTAACGTAAAATGCATTTAAGATTGATACTAAAATGATGATTAAAAGTAAAATGAAAATTTGGACCGCGGCCAGATTTGAACCAGCTACCACCGGGTTTCCAATTCGATGCTTTACCAACTGAGCTACTAGGCCCGACAACTGACGAGATTTCTTATTTTACTTCAACCACGATGGGTTTTGCCCGACTACCATGTGAATTCATGAGCCGTTACTACCGCTTGATCGTACGTACTCACACTAGCTGCCCAGTCAGGACTTCTCATTTAAATCCAAATCTAACTGGATAAGAGAGGTGGGGCATAGTATTGATTATTACTTTGACTATCTGAGATAGCCGTGGTTTGACAGATGCTGAGTGATGATTGAAGGTGAAGTGAAAACTTAGGTTGCAGAGTGATTCGAACCAGCGACAGTATATGCGAGAATAACTAAACTAACATGTCGTACACTTTCTGTTATCAGTCATTTCATTCAATACTGAATATTCATGGACTTTCTATCTCCCACTGCTACACTTAATAATACAGAAAATATTCCACATTAGGAATTCATTGGTTCACTGAGACCTGCTTTAATTCAGCACAGTAAAAGCAAGTTTATTGAACGATTGAACAGACTGAAGTTTTTATTTACACTTGATTTTTCGAAGTTTTGTTTGCATAGGTAGGACAGTAGGACAAATATTTAACTATTGAAATGCTTATTGACTATGCTTCAGATAATAAAACTAAGTTTAATATATATAATTTGTATTTGTGTAAAGCACAGCATATTTGAAATCAAATAATTCCAATGTTTTGTATGGAAGTCAGGTCCAAGCTTTTTTTTCACTCAGAAGCTGGGACCAGACTTCCGAGTGAAACATTGGAATTATTTCATTTCAAACACCCTATGACTTACATAAATACAAATTATATCTAATGTCAGCCTTTTACTCAGAGCCCAATAATTACGATAATATTCCGTCAAATCTTGATCACAGATCATACAAGTTTAATATAGTTCTAAATTGAACAGTAAATCTCAGAGACCGATACGAACTTCAATCAAAGGATGGTACAGACACTGGTAGGGTTAGCAAGACATAGAAGTGATACATTGATACTTGATGTGAAAGCATTTCTTCAGGCATCAACATACCCAGATGCACTATGCTTAAGTGGTTTTGAAATCATGAGTGAATTTTTTCGCTGATTTGCTTCTTCTTCTTCTTTGAAATCCTTTGAAATCCTTTCGAAGCAATGTAATGAATAAAAGAAAGGAGGGTAGTAATTCACACTCATTTTCATTAGTGACATAAAAGTGAACCAGAGTGAAATTATCAAATGCTCTGGGATAGTGTTTCTTTGCAGCAGCTTTATCATCACCTGGTTGCAACCAAAACTAGTCATTCGTAAAAGTGAATTCGGTCAAATTAGGAACCTTTAAAACTGATCGGTATGGAATAAACATATACAAATAAATAAATAACTTGGAATAGCTTTATGGTAAAATGTAATGTATTCTTAACAGTTTACCATAATTTTACCTTACCCTTTTGCTTCACCGTCTAGTTCCCGGTTTATATCACGATGATTATAAGCTTCATTGCTATAAACAGATAAAGAGAAAAACTGACACATTTAGATTGTCTGCATGTTATTTAAACAACAAATAAAGTATTAAAGATAACTGTTGACTAGCAGCGGAATCCAGGAAGCAAGTTTCGTTCTATTTAGGACTCGTCAGTTAGTTGTACCTCAATTCTAGTGACTAATGGTGTTCCCACTGAGATTCATCATCACTTTCGCTAAGCCACCAGTGTCGAACACTGAAATTACACTTGAATATGCTCCTACCTACAGCACAAGATTAGGATGGTAATTTTTTCGATTCTCTGCTTATTAGTATAACAGGTAATTACATAGGGAAGCTATGGTGAATGGTAATGAGCATACCAACACTTTCGAACTAGAAACAAAATATGAATGAATTAATTGTTAAAATTTCGGTAAATAAGACATTTTAGTCACCGACACAAATTCCTATACACTAAACAATATTTCTATATCATCAAAAGTATTAAAAGTTAATGCTAACAATAACAGAGAAAGGTTCTTTAATTAAATCAAACGTCTGTATACCGCTAAAAGTAACTTAAAACTTGTAATTTTACGAATGCCAAGCTATGTCGACTGGGAAACTGAGAAAAAATAAAGTTTCATACACTTCAGAAAAACTAATCAACCGATTACCTAACCAGTTCACTCCCTCCCACTTATAATCAAACTATGTACAGGAGGAGGAAATGTTCAGAATGCAGCACCAGTTGAATATTGAAATTTTCAATAAGATTTATCAAGATACCATAATTCCATTGAGTCTACAATGATTACAGTTTGAAAAAAATCAACCAACATCTAACATGAAGGTTTAGTGCTTAACACATATGAGATTATAAACCGTGAAAAGAAACCGTTAACTGAAGACTAACAACACAGTAAGATATCTATAAAACAATTGAACACTAATCATCAATAAAACTTCACAGTTTAGTATTGTAGTGAGATATGTCACCTAAATATTGATTTAGCAGTCACTAATCACTTAAAAACACACTGAATGTTGATCATCCCAAGTAATAAGTGTGTACGTGATTAGTAAGTTAATTATGAAATAAACAACGAAACAGAAACAGCTGTAATGAGATCATACTTATTGCTTTCTTTTGGTGATCTACTAAAAGCGATGATGGTGCTGGTTACTGGTTCGAAAAGAATACCACTACTGCCATTTTTTCAAACCAGATGGCAAGCCGAAACCATTTAGGTTTACAATACCCTATTCCTTTTCGTTCTTACAGTTGATAGATAGTTAGAACAGATAACCGTCTTCTTGCATATGGTTTACATAGAATCCTCTGTTTCCCATCAAATACCTATGAGGAATTGATAACTCTTGTCCTGGGGTATCTTTTGTGCATAAGTAACAGTGGAGTTATGGCTCATTGGTTTAGACAGATGACTTTCAACTAAAGGGTTATGAGTTCCAGTTCTATCCCATCTAACGAGGTTTGAGCAGCCAGGTAGTATCATTTGCCCTCACACAACAGGTGTGGCTTACTGCCTACTGTACGAGTGTGCAAAGGGTTACTGAGTCCATTTCGATTCAACTTGCACAAGTGACCGTCAATTTTATTACGACATACATTAAAAAATCTGACAGCTGACCAGCAACTGCTTTTTACTATTCACCCATATGGAATTCGGTAATATTCACCACCTTAGCATAATAAAGCAATAAGTTCAGTATAGTTAGCAAAAACCAAACAGTTTAACACACAAGTTTTGACAAGTCCATTTTCATCTATAGCAAAACATATCATCGAAATGAATCATAAGGTTAATACGAAAACAGCATTCAATATATTATATAGGAATAATCAGGGGTGCATATTGAAATTTGCCGGTGTTAGCCATTCGGAAACTTAAGCCCCCGTTGTGTGTACAAGAACAATTTGCTGTTTCACTTAATTTACCTTAGTAATCCTTATCTGGTTATATGACCAAGACTAGTGTCATAACCTTTTTATATTCATTATATTTTACCTTTCATTTTCATATAAAAATTGACTTGATAAGTAAATGTATGATCAGATTGTTTAAAATGTATTGCCCAAATACATCACATTTTTCAGATAATCTTCGTCTTCTAATAACGTTATCGAAATCTATTAAAGGGACTGATTGTTTTAAAAATCAATCATACCATTTTAGTTGTGTCTGACCGCTAATCAACTCACAGTGTCGCATCACAGTCGTTCATGATAGAAAAAAAACACTAAAATACAATTCTGATAAGTGTTACCCTAATCACATAAGAATTTTCGATAAGTTGAATCAGTTAACACATCTAAGGTCATGACTGCTAAATTTAATAAGGAAACAACAAGAAGACTAAAAAACGCTTACTCGATATTTCTTCGTTTAGGAAGATGTTCATAATCAAGCTGTTTGCGTTCTTCCTTAGTAAGGGTACGATAATCACTTGTCAAATTGAATATAGGTCTAAGCCATTCATCTGTAGACCAAAATATAGAGAGATTGTTCACAACAAAAGTTTTGTAGGAAATGACAAGACGGAGATGAAGGAAGGAATATTTATTATTAACATCTGGTACAGTAGTCATCAAATATTATTATATACCTTCCACTAAGACAGTCATTTGCATATAGTGCTTTATTTCCTCTTCTGCTTCTATCTTGATTCGCTCTGAATACGCCCACATTGTCTCTTGCGTTTCTTTGAGCAGAATCGTTACTCACTGCTGATAGTTCCCTGATTTTTCCCATCCTCTCAACACATACTACTTATATCCATTCTGATCAGCAACGCCCGCTGCAGTATGAATAGGACCTATGCATAAGCATTACAAAGCGATTCGGTCGGCATATTTAAGCCAGAAAGTACACACCATCTTTGTCCCTGGTTAGTATTTTGATGCTTGGTACTTAGGCCTCCAATTTTACCAGTGATTCCACAGAAATTATGAATCATATCTTGTTTAGAAGTTGTTTTACTGAAAACAATAAACTTCAGTACGCGAAGTAGATTTGATAGCAAGCATTTCTGTCATTATTTTGTGAACAGTATGGATATTCAGTTATTTAGAGTGACTCTAAAGACTAACTTGGGAAGTAATGAAATAACCGGTTAGGTTTATTTATTTGGCTGGAAAGTAATACATCCATAAAATAATAGTCCTTACGGTAATCTTTATAGACACTCGTCATTGGTCTGTGATATGTATAAATGCTGCTCGAAGTCCAGTATGCTTACATTGGTAATAAGTCATTGACAAAGTTTTCCTGTTATTTCTAGGCTTTCATATGAGTACCAAGTTGAGTCGGTGTTGAGGGGTATAAACAAAGTACTGTTCTTAAAAATATTTGTAAAACTTCCTCTCGTAGAGAAACACGTTCATTACAGGTGATCTAATAACCATTGGCTTTCTCCGTAACAGCTACATTTTGTCGATATAAAATATGCTGGAAGTTTCTATATTTGGTTTACCAAATGCTTTAAAGATTTATGCCTTAGCACTCTACTTGCAGCTAATCAATCGCGAATCATCTCACATAGCCTGTAGTTCCAGCTTTCTTATAACAGACCAAACTTAGTTTTGTCAAATTAAACGTTCTGATATCACAAAGCAGGAGGAAAAGTTAGAGTGCAAATACATAAAATGATTTGATAAAATAGTATATCCAACACTGAAATAATACTAGTGCAACTTGAGAAACAAGTCTAAGTGGATTACCTAAATACATCCCATTACTTAAACTTCCAATGACAGTATTGGTGAAACGGAAACTCACTAATTCGATCTTGATATTATCTTGACAACTGAAAACGATGCTGCTTTAGTATTGAGAATGCGAAAAGCTCATAACAACTAACTGTGATACGGATTCATAGGTACGGGAACTCCATATCCCAAGAAAAATCACCAATCCTATCCTCTAAACCAATAAAGAAAGTTAATAGGGTGTGATAAAAACTGATACCCATTACTAAGCAGATAGTTTTCGCGATTGAAGAGCCTCTTGGATGAAGAATTTGCATTTAAAGGAATACTTGCTGGATTTAAATATCAACACAATCATTAATATTAAAATTAAGAAATGTTTGTCGGATTCCGCCACCTAAAACTAAGCCTCGTCACTTTCGAGAATGAGATTTCATTCTATACCCTGAAACTGGGAATAGCTGCAGACCAGTTTCTATCTTACACTTGACGGATATTACACGCACGCCAAACACAAGCACGTTTCTGCTCAAAGCATTTAGAAGACCCTATATTTTGTCACCGTGTTGGGTTGATAACAAAGTAAGAGTCTCATATATATATATATATATATATATATATAATATCCTTTCCATAAAAAATGACTTACTAATAAGTCTGCCAGCCTTATCCTTGTTTTCTCTAGTTTCTCTTGGATGTTTGTACAAATACATCAGGGCTTTTCCAATCCCGGATTCTTGAAGAACCTCTGGTGACAGCGATTGGAACTCACTAAGGCTGGTCAGCATGGAGTCGCGTATAACGAGATTCGGAAGTGTATGACCGGGGAGCGGTGATAACCATTCAGTTATAGCAGAGAGCATTCCGTTTTCTATCAGAGCGGACTTCAAGTCGGCTCGCCTGAGGAGAGCTAATACATCTTTGAACATGCTTAGTTTTTTAGTTGCAGGTTGACCAGATGAAAGTAACTGTCTGTCTTCATCGGCAGCACTTTTCATCCGCGAAATCATTTCTACGATCAGATCATCACTGTCATTAAGGAACTCAATATCTCGATTACGTTTTCGTCTTCGTCGGAGTTCTTCTTTCTTCTTTTCCATTACACGATCAAAGTCGGAGACGAATTCATCATCTTGTTCAGATTCATCATCATCCTCATTCTCTCCAGAAGTAGGTTGTCGGCCCTTATGCGAAGCAACCTCATCAGATGTTTGGATTTCAACCTCTTCTTCGATACCTTTATCGAGTTCATTCTCAGCAAAACCCTCAAATTCTTCTTCTGCATCACTCTCACCAAAGATATCTGCTATAATCCCATCAACTTGAGATTCTGGTTGCTCGTCTCTTTCAAACCCTTCAAATTCTTCATTGAACTTACTTTGATCTTGATCGGCATCATTATCGTCAAAAATGTCACGGAATCTCTCAAAGCGATGTGACTCGGCAGGAAAACCATACTTAGGTTGTGAAGATTTTTCCATTGGACTGTCTATGTGACTTTTATCAGGCTCCTGCTGTTGCACATCCTGTAGATAATCGGCTCTCACTGGTTCTGAATCACTGTTGCTCACAAGCTCCTCCTCATCGTCTTCAGGGATTTTTTCAGGGATATTTGGTTCAGACTTTTTAGCTACCATTATATCTGACGCATGCTCACTTGCAGAATAGCTTAGGGCAGGACTAGACTCAGGAGTAGAACTTAAGGCTTGGCTAGGAGCATAACCTGGAGTAGTAACATCCACAACAGGTTCAATGTGATACTCCCTATCATGGTCCGAACTTCTATGGAACTCATTTTGCTCAGATTTTACAACAGGATATTCATTAACAGAATCAACTGGTGAGTTTGGAAAATGATGAGAATAGGATACTTGATCTTCGAGGTCATCATTTAGATCATCAGAGCTAGAATCCTATAAAGCATGCCTTAGAAAACTGGTAACTTACTCCTTCAGGTTCAGAGGGAACGTACCTTGGTCTATAGGCCACCTTCCGATCATTCATTAGCCGACTATGTACAGGATCATAGCCATCATGCTCATCAGCGGATTCTTCGAAATTGGAATCTCTGAAATAAAAGAAATAAGAATATGGCAATAACAATGAGCAAAATAGGAGTTTTAATGACTCTCAGAGTCTGTATATAGTAGGGGAAGAACACTTCTTTCAAATTGAAAATTTAAATTCAGAGTTGAATGTAAACATCATAATAAGTCGCAAGTTACAGTACAAATGACGAAAGTACCGTCAGCATGTGGTGGTTTCATCAGCTAACCCAAAAAGATCAGGTGCGTTTAATTTTACTTGAGGATATGAAGGTTAAATCTTCAATATCCACCATACTATGAAACACAAACATTTATCTACTGCCAACTTCAACAAAACTCATTGATCTTATGTCAGTATATGCTAAACGAGCTTGTTTCTGCTAAAGGAGTTCAAAAAACTGCATTTTGCCAGCTTCTTTGCCTAACAGGATATCACCTCCGTACTTTAAAAAACCAGGTTTTTTTTCTGGAAGTCAACCCTTGTAAAGTTGGAAGTATCTAAGAATATCCCCATTAGTCTATCAAAAGAAAACTAAATAGCAACAGCGAGTAGTCTTAGAGAGTATCATTAGTTGTCGTCACTTCAGACGTCAATATGAGATAGACCCTTAAACAGCTGTTTGGGTCTCAGCAGATAGCTGCTACCTTGACGTGGTGGTCGAGCTTGTATATCACAATGACTCAACGAGTCATGTTCATGTAACGTTTGTTCTCTCCAAGTCTTTCTATTCCAATAAGGTCCGTTAGATGGTGTCAACTGCTACACAATGATGGGGGTCTGAAAAGGAAGTTGTACGGTTGGCTGGACGGAAGCGTAACAGCAGTAACGCGTTTCCTTGGGTGTCTTAGTAGTGCCAAACTGATGCTGCCTTCCATACGAGAAGGGGGATTCGAAAAGATCACCACACTCGCCTCTATACCGCAGTATGCCGATGTTAGTGACAAGGGTTCACAGTCGGTTTCAAAATCAACAAACCAAAATCCTAAGCTTCCAAAAAGGCCATATATATGTGACTGGCCTCAAAGTAGTTGTCCCTTGCGCTAAGCAGTCACACACTAACCCTTCTCTTTCAGGTATGTCAAGCAGAAATAACCTTCCATTGTGTGAGCAACCGGGAACTGTTAACCGCTTTCACAACTATGTTAGGACCCAAGTACCTTCAGATCAATATCCACCTTCCACATCAAGACCTTCTTATCTTCATTCACATCTCCCGGCCAACATTCCTACTTCATCTATAATTTTTCCCAACTCTGTAGCTCTTGATAACGATTTGAGTTCACCGAACAGCATAACGGGTTTCCTGAAATCACGCTAAAAACTACACAATTAAGCTCCCAATGTTAGCATCATCATCATCAATATCAACATAGGACCAGGCATTACTGCATAACGGTCGAGTTACCACACCTCATATCAGTACATCAAGTAAAAAGGCAGTGAGGCGCAAGATGAAGATAAGAAAATTCAGTCAAAAGAAATATAAAGTACGAAAAGAGAGGAACGAAGAATGAGAAGTGGTGAGATTCGGTATAGCGTCGTTAAGATCAGGATAATGTATGTATACATCTGCGCCACTGACATCAGTTCTCAGCCATATCATCTAGAGTCTCCAACCACTGGTTCCTCTTGTCCCGCGAACCCCAACCACCCAGTCTGTATCGCCCTCTCTACATGGCTCAAACCAACAGTCAAATACTTCATACATTGATGCCATGTTTTAGTCTGGCCACCTCGGGTTGTTTTCCAGTGTGGACCTACTTCAGCCAACATTGTCCCAACCACCTCAGTCGGTGAAGGTTCACAACCTCGTCAACTGACTTACCTCTTCTCCATAACACTCTACTCCTGACGTCTGCGTTACTCACGTGGTGACACCACGAAATATGGCCTATACTACGAAGGCAACGGTAGTCAAACACTTGAAGCTTTCTCATATCTTCTACTTTCAATGGCCATGTTTCACAGTCATACAGTAGAACAGAACTGCTGTGCAGTACACGCGAACCTTAGTAGAAAATCGGATATCACGGCGGCTCCACAGGTGGCGTAAGTAGGCAAAAGCCAACCGAACCTTTTGTATTCGTGCAGAGATTTCACCGGCCACCCAGGGCTGACCCTACTTCCCAGGTAAGTGAAGTGGTCGACACACTCAATCACTATACTCTATTATTAGCCGTGGCACCGTTGAAGACCAGTCCTGGAGCAACAATTTTTCATTTGGGTAGCGAGAAACGCATCTGAAACATTCTCAAATTGCCATTCAAGGTGTTCAGGAGACTCTGGACCTTGTCAGGGTCTTCACCTAGCAGGACTATGTTGTCTGAGTATTCTAGGTCTACCAAAAGTTCTTGCGATGAGGTCAATCCTTGTGTAGTCAGATGTTGAGAAGAAGACCTCCATAAGAACCTCTATGATAAGATTGAATAAGAATGGAGAGAGTAGGCACCCTTGGCGCATACCACTCGATGTACTTCGCGGTTAACGGAGTTCAATGTCGCCTTCAGTTCAAGTAATGCAGATATTGTCGGGCGTCGATTAGCGTGCCTGCGTTCTAGAACCTAGTGGAGCGTTGATATTTGGTCGATACACCCACGGCCAGGTCTGAAACCTGCCTAGTTTTCTCGGGATTGTCGTTACCGAGCTCCACTCAGGCGTCTAATGATCATAGAACCTAGAAACTAAGTTCGTTAGGTTGATTCTTCCGTGGTTATCACAGGAGGACTTTTTGTCTTCCTTGAAGACTGGGATAGTCAGTGATTGAGACCAGTTAGAGGGGATCATATTTGACTCCTATACACTAGCTAACACTTCATTTAACTTGACTAAAAATACCCTACCACTATCTTATGTACCTCAGGAACTAGTCCGCCTCGTCCTGTTGCACCTCCTCGTTTCAAGTTATCTACCACTTTCTCGACTAATGCACTTGTTGCGTGGTCTTTCTCAATGTTCCATTCAGGACCCGACTGGGTAGCGGACAGTGCAATAGCAGTAGTCAATCTCCTTGGGGATTCGACATTCGCAACATGTCACAAATGTCATCTGTGTCAGTGAAACTTAACATCAACTGACTAGTTTTTGTTGCTCAGTAGTTTATGCCTAACCTCAACATTGATCACAGTGACATATAGGAGCAAAATACTACTTTAGGCCTGCGATATTCTACACACGAACAACCACTTCGGAAGATCATATCTGTGGGATATTCAAAGTCATCAGTTGCGAGTCTGAGCCGAAGCGAGGCATGCTTCCTACTGGAGTAATTTACCACACTCGATAAAGCCTTGTCAGCGACTACATATTTAAACACATCAGCGACTGGAGTAGAAGTAGATACCTATTACTAGTGGTGGTGGGGAGGGTCTAAGCGTACCGTATATATACTGAACGGAGACCATAATTTTAGTCGAGTAACTGCTTTGAAAATAATCGACTGTGTCGGTTATACAGTTTGTCGTGGTTTAAGAACTAATGCAAAATTTTACAACCCGAAACAAAAGGCAAACCATCACCATTATAATCGGTCGTGACTACCGAATGTGAGAATACTGTTGATTTTGGGTAGTTCTACCTTTGGAAAATAATGACCATATTGTACCAACTTACAGATTTCAAACGCAGAACCTAGGTGACAACGCTGTTCCCTCTAGGTGGCATTTGTGCTAACAGACATTTCGGATACAAACGACTATGCAACCAGTAGAGATTGGAATATGGATAAGAACTCGTTTATTAAGAAGGCTTGAAATAGGTTTAGAACTATATTCCAAGCAGTGGCGATAGCACTTATTGCATGATCAACCTCTACATCTACTTGCATAGTTTGACAAGAGTACTCGAAGATCACTTCCGTGGAGGAAAGGTTTATGAGACTTTTTCCTGAAAACATCCTTGGAGATGTTTAAGATCAAACGCTGTAAGTATACAGACAAATATAACTGTAATTGTATGGTCTCCCAAGGAGTATGAAAGATTGTAAATAAGTATTGAGACCATCCTGAAAGACTAGTTTCATTCTTCAGAAGGATGGGATACCATCTTTAGTGTTAAATGAGAATCAGATGGCTTGTTGGAGTCAAATCTGTTCGAAGATAAGTGCTTTTGCCAATACTTCAACTGGGTTTCAGTAGATCGAAACACTGATAAACACAACAGTTGCACTAGAACTGCCTTGACAAAGAGTTTATTGCGCATAACAGAGAAGGTAGCTATTCTGTTGATCCCTAAATTTAAACCCGTAAAAACCTTGGGTACAGATGTTTGACACCTTAGATTGTTATCTTCCCTGGTGGTTATTGTTGTTTAGTTCATACTGAGCTTTTAAATATGTCTTTGTTTTAAGCTTCCCTCCCAAAACATTGGAAGGATGTCACAATCAGCTAAGTTTCGGGGCGAGTAATCGTCTCCTTTTGAGTCAGACTAGTATATTTGGTCAGTGCCAGGTATTGACCTGCCCCCTCCCCTGAACCCTTTTCTATCCTAATCCCTAGCATGACACGTCGAGGTAAGCAGTGGCTCAGCATGGGCGGCACAAGTCCAAGCTATCTCAGTCGACTAATGTCCACAACCTCGTCAACTGACTTGCCTAGTACCTTTCATTTGACTCATTACTGCTCACACGGGGATTTCACCAAGCGTGAGCACTGTTACGAATATTAGGATGGAAAAGAGTTCACGGTGGGGAGATCAAGATGTGGCACCAATCGACGAAGTCCTGACTGTTGGCCTAAGCCATGTGGGGAGATGCAGACTGCCTGGTTGGGGTCTCCGAGAAGAAAGGAATCAGCGGTTGAGGACTCTTGGTGACGGCTGAAAATCGGTTACAAGAGCACAGATTTATTCACTCTTTGACATCTAAAGCTTGAGTATTCACACTTTAAATTGTCTATTCTCTCACACTACTTTATCTACTTTAATATTACTCTTTCTCTATCTACCTGTTCTTTGTGTAATTCTGTGAATTGTAGCAACTTGAGTCGATGCACCTACGTTCGAGGTTCTACGTTGATTTTGTCAGTCAACGTTATTTCCATAGATTTAAGGGCATTTGAAGTCTTACCTTTTCGGATCTAATGACATACTGTAAAGCTAGGTTAGAGACTTTTTATATGACAGGAGCTAAGGAGTGTGGATAAACATGGTACCGTCTCGATGGAATATAATAGGGAATGGAGCTTTCTCACGTACGATCTCGGCTTCTCTTCCTTTCCTTTTAAAGAGCTCCTGGACATTAACAAATTCTCGGCTAGCTTGTTTACCGAAGAGGCAAATGTTTAGAAGGTAAGTCAAACGATGCAGATAAGTAAGTGACCCAAGCGAACCTGGATGAACCAATCAATTGGTCTAAATGATAGTTCCTAGAAATAAACTTTTTCTAAGAATGGATTAACGTATATTAGTCACCGTTACCATCACTAGCTTTTTTTATAGAGCACCGCCCATATTCTGGAAAGTAAAGGATAGAAGCCATCTTTTACGTGGCTAGAATAAACATGGCGTCAGCCTGTGAGATCTTTGATTGTTGGTTTAAAGTGTAGCGAAAGGTAGACTTCCGGTAAGAGGTCCGCGTGACAACAGAAACAAGGTGCTGGAGACTGTGGGTGATATGGGTAAGAATCCTGCTTACCGGCTCAGATGCATTACACACTATCTTCATCTTAAGCACAATGCCGAATCTCATCACTGTTTCATTCATTTTCGTTCTCTTTTTCTGACTCTACCTCGTTAGCTTTCTTCCTTGTTTCCTTACCTTTCATCTGTGCCTTCTACTTGTTTTGAAATGAGTAGTGGCAACACAGGCCATTTGTTACGATGGGTCCCATTGGGATGCAGACTAACTGAAGGCTTAAACGTTATCATAAGCCACAATCCACAAATATCCGTACACTGAGGAAGGCTTCCATGTGCTATGGCTTTGATAGAGAGCTTTCTGTAGTGATTAGTTTATTTCCTGGGATACTCCATAATATAGACTCAGCGTTCTGAAGGCAGACGACCAAAAAGAAACCTATGTACCTGGAAGCGTCTGGTGGGTTAGTACTAAGCTAGAGGTCAGCTTTTCCAATCTGCCGTATGATGAGCTCGTAGATCAATTGAATCTCTTATTATTTCTTGGCACGTTAAAGAGTTTGTGCCATACTGGTGTTCCACAGGCTTAACGATATAAGTAACAATTTCGAACTCCGTTGAGCCAAATGAACTAAACCTAGAGTTTAAACCAGTGATATTCACATGGACTAATGTTGCATCACGAAAATGTGGACCAGATATATATGGAAAATACACTGAGTTGCTGAAGTTATTGTGACTGTTTGTTCTTTTCGAGTGCTTGTAATATGTATTAAAATTTCCAAAATATTAAAGTATTGCACCTATTTCATGAATTGATGCTTTTTTAAACGTTTTGGTCAAGGTATCCATTATATTGGTTCTTCCTTATCATTCCCCTACTCATCACCTTTATTTCCCCTTTTTTGTTAGTTTGGGGGGGGGGGGGTACCGATCACACATACATCTACTTGAAAGTTGGTCTAAATAAAAGAAGCAACCAGCTAGGAACAACAGTCAGCTGAAAGGAAATAAACTGCCAAGAGGAGTGATGGGTTATAACATCAAACGTAGTAATACCGTTCAGAAGCCAGTATGTCGACTTGTACAAGTCAGTATCCAACGATTAGATGCTGAATATACCTTGCAGACGCAGAACTGAAGTAGGAGGCTATCCTTCATCAGTCACGTACGCTACTTTTTAGAAGTTGGTTGTCATAAACTTCCCACATTGATTGTGTGAGCGTAGAAAACTGATAGTTTTTGATCTCTTGCGTCTAGTCATTGGGGCTTAAATTGTGTACCTTGGTTCACTCCTGGAGTGAACGAGAAAATCCCTTTTCCTTTCCTGTTTTTAGCTCCGGTGAGGTGAATGCTTCTGGGGGTTAGTAATTCTATTTGGTAGAGGGATTGGGTTGGCTTCAACTTCAGCAGTATTCTGTTTATTTTCGTGCAGATCTGCCTGCCTTCTAGATGCACTTTGAAGCAAGAGAGTAGAAGTTCACTAATACCGGTTGATACGACCTTATGAAGCATGACTGTAAGCGGAACACTGTCAAATGTCTAAGCTAGGTTGAGAAAAACATGTACTGGTTTTCTGGTGTCCCAGCTAAGGGTCCAGTCGTCCCAGGAACTTGGTGGTACATGAATGACCACTTCAAAAGCCATGCTGAGTAGTGTGGACAGAGTTTTCCCTGTTAAGGAATTCCCAGATCTTGTCGGCTACCAAGCTTTCTAACACTTTGGACAGCATATGGAGTATTGGCAATCAGTCTATAGCGGCCAGGACTTTTCCTATCTCCTCCCCTATAGGCGGGTGACAAGATCATGCACTTCTATTCTGAAGGGAGTATGCATGACGAATGAGTACTCGAGAATGTTGCAGATTGGTTTTGCAAACACCTAGGCGCAGTTTTTCAAGATTATCGGTCTCAGGCTATCGCAACCAGAGGACTCACCTGGAAGGAGCTAAGACAGTTGTTTCAATACTTATTTCTGTATGGTTCGGATGTAGCAGATGTATTCGCTATTCATAGTCTGATAAGCGTCATATCCAACTGGTGCCGATTCAGTGTGCTTAGAAACCTTTATACTGCTTAGTACATCTCTATTGGGACCTGTGATAAGATTTACTCTTTTTATAGCCCTTTTATATTACTGTAAGAATTCGTGCCAGATTTATATATTTCCTCTCGCTGATAATGTGAAAATGATAGGATTCTTAAGCAGCTGTCATAAATGTTAAAACATGGTTTACTAACATTATCAATCCTTGAGACTGATTTTATCGGAAACATACCCCATTGGCTGTCAGGTGGCGAACGGAACAAGACAATCTGCATCCACAAGATTAACCCGTCAAGGTCAACCATGAGATGACCTTTAGGTGTTTCAATTGATTGATAACTCAATAAAAGAAGCTTTCACTTAAGTGACTTCGCTGTATAAAAGCAGTGGACCACGGATTCCTTCGGTTTTTAGCCTGTACAAAAACGGCGTGAGGAAAAGATGGTGGTAAAAACAAGAGAAGCAAGTTAGATATGATTAAGCTCTTGCCTCACAGTAAGTTGGTATCAAGTTGGAGTTAATAGGGTTCAGACAAAGTAACCTAAACCACTTTCGTAGGGAGAGCACCACAGGTTTCAACAACTCTCAGGGAGCAGACACTGCGGATGATATCCGACTCGTTATTTTCTAAGCTTAGTTTCTCTAAGATTGATGTTACGAGCAAGGTTGTAAAATTCAAGGGCTGGTGTCTAGGATTGGTTAGACTATTCCAAACCAATACAAAATCTTCCACCAGTCTTCTGAGTTCCGGGAGATACGGATCAAGTGCCACCCGTTGTACTTTATGTACCTTATATGTATCAAATGGGTAGATGATAGAGTACAGATAGCACTAGACGCTCCTATACAAACCCCACTATGCACCCACCCAGGTTAAATAAATCGCCGAAAAGGCAATTAGGCGGTCAAACCAATAGACAAAAAGCCAACACAAATAGCCGAAAGGCCATTGCACCCTCGTGAAGCCACACTAAGGAAAGTGCCAAAATTTATTTCTCAGGTTATCCTATGACCAAGTCAAGTAACCACTCTCCAGGCGACCTACACTTTTTAACACTTTCGCGTTCACTAGCAGACACACATCACGGCCGGACCCCCCAACGGTCACAGTTACTGGACAGGGAGCCAAAAGGTAGTCACAAATTATGCTCTCCGCCTCACCCACACGCCGCGAGGCATGGGTCACACGCCAAGCAAAGACAAATTTACAGCAGATCCCCTGAAGAAAATCATGGGGAATATGAGTTTGGCTGTGACCAAAATGCATAGGGAAACCAGCGGATAGGTGTGCCATACAACTTATCAATCCCCGTTACTTCTTATGAACAGGGTTTTTTCGGACAGCCTACGGCTGCAACGCCACCAGTAGTGCAGGTGATTTGGATGCTGTCGGACCATCTGCTCTCTACCCTGCCCAACAGTTTCTATACCAATCACAATGCGATAGATACCTCTCTCCTTCCGGGGAAAACAGTGCCCAGTCGTCACCCTGTACAAAAGGTCATGACATCGTTAGCACGATGTACGCAAATGACCCACAAGAAATGTACAGAGGAGCTGACTTTTTTCGAGATATATCCAGACACTTTTGTACTCCTAACCCGCTCTCGTTTTGCCTGATTAACACCCGCTCCATGCGCGACAAATTGGAAGAGATTATGCTGCTATCTCTGATAAGTGATCCATCCGTGATAATGGTTACAGAAACATCATGTACCTCTGATATTTGTGACGCAGAGATCTCCATCGACAACTATTCCTTGTTCAAGAGGGACAGACTACATGGTAAGGAAGGAGGGTGCATTATCTATATAAAGTCCAACATCACTGCTACGCAGTGCTCTACATCTGAGCTAGACGAGACTGACGACTCAGTATGGATTATAGCGAAACTTACTCGTTCCACTTCCCTCCTAATAGGTGCATTTACCGACCCCGTTCCTCCTCAGTTGAACACGACGACAAGTTAACAAGCGTGTTCGTTCGTGTGGCAACGCTACCCACACAACGAAAATTATATGTGGTGACTTGATATGCCAGATATAACGTGGCAACCAATCAGCTATCCAGAGCGCTTTGATAAATTCATAAGCATTCTTGAAACAGAGGGTTGGCTACATGTGCGACACCCTACCAGGTACAATAGTGTCCTGGACCTAGTCCTCACAAACGGAACCGCACGCACAAAACTCCGAGTGGGTACACAATTTCCAGGTAGCGATCACAAGATTGTATACGGATACTTCAACATATCCAGCACAAAATTAGCCCAAAAGTCAGGAACGGTGCTAACTAAAAACTACAAGTATGCCAAATGGGACGAACTGCAATTGTTTCTGAGCTGCCTAGATTGGAGCCCCTACTTTACCAACAGTTCAACCAAAGAACGCTGCGATCTATTTTATGAATATATAGGCACAGCTCAAGACTATATAGCACCGCCACTCCGAAGAGAAATTAAGAAAAATAGAGATGACTATATACCTACGAAAGTACGCGACCGCATGCGAAACCGTGCCGTAGAGTATCATAAGTCGAACGACTTTTCATCGCTTGTCACACTCAAAGACACATACGTCACATTCAAGGTAGAAAGAGTACTAGAAGCCGTTAAACAAGAAAGCATCCAATGTAGTAGAACTAGTGATACAGAAGCCCTAGTGAGACTGATGGAAACCCTGATAAGCAGCTCCAGAAATAGTACCCCTAGTTTAATCATAGACAACGGTATCCTCTACGACGACTCACTACAAATCAGCGAGCTGTTCGGTTACCGGTTTGCTAGCTGCCTCACATAAGAGGACGAAATTAAAGTCATTGGTGCACCGTCAACATCAACTCACTCGATAAGTACTGTGCTCTTCACTAAACAAAACATTTCTCTAGCTATAGCATCACTTCGAACCTCATACAGTGCGGGAACTGATGGAATTCCAACCATCTTGTTAAAAAGAGGTGGCGAAGATATACCGCTGATTCTTTTGAAGCTCTTTGATAAGGCCCTTTCCAGTGGCAATTGCCCCAAAAACTGGAAACTATCATACATATGTCCTAAGCATAAATGTGGACCAACATCTAATAAGAAAACTACTGACCTATAAACATCACGTCAGTAGTATCCAGGACTATTGAAAAGGTGATTGTGAAAGCAGTTGTCGACTACGTGGCGACAAACCAATCACTCTCACCAGCACAACATGCATTCTTAAAAGGCCGGTCATGCGCTACCAGCTATCTTGACTATCTAGACGACGTTACAAGCAAGCGTGACGAAGGCCTATTTGTAACTACCCTTTTCTTAGACTTCAAGCAAGCATTCGATAAGGTGCCTCACAAACGTCTGGTCACTAAGTTGTAATCATACGGTTTCCAAGACCAGTTACTTTCCCGGCTTGGAACATTTTTAGAGGGTCGCTTCCAAGTAGTAAGATTCAGTAATTGCCACTCCCCCCTAGACGTATACAAAGTGGTGTCGTCCAGGGTAGTGTGCTAGGGCCGATACCTTTCCTAATCTATGTGAACGATATCTGCAGTGTTATCCGAAATGGCATACCTTACCTTTTCGCAGACGACTTGAAGATAGTCTACAGCTTTTCTCCTGCAGCACTAACACAGGGTTTCTCTCAAATACAAGAAGATCTGAAGAGAATATTCACATAGAGCGTGACCTAGCAGCCCCCTCTAAACCCAAACAAAAGTGGCATCCTCCATTTCAATTAATCTCGCCTAGAAGTAACACTACACTTGGGTGAAACCGCACTGCAGATATGCAACACTGTGAAAGACCTCAGAATCTTTTACTCCAGAAGTTTGACTTTTTCGGAGTATGCAGATTCAATAGTTTCCAAAGGCAGGAGACTCATTGGTCTTCTACACAGGAACATACTCACACCTGAGGCGAACTTATGCTGTACAAGGCTATGGTTCGCCCTATATTAGAGTACTGCAAGTCGTCTATGGTAACATGAAGGCATCGGACGGAATTCGAGTAGAGAACATTCAAAGAAACCACTCGGCGCCTACTAACACATAACGAAGGACTTACATACGAAGCAAGATGCAAAAAACTAGAACCAGAATCACTCTGGCTGAGACGCATGAAGCTCAACCTAACATTTCTTTTCGCCTTTTATTCGGAAACTCCAAAACGAAGTGTGCTACCACTTTTGAATCAACACAGGCATATAATCTGCGTAATGGTGAGTACACCATCCCAATAAGTATGTAGGTTTTTCATAACGTAATACAGTATGCTGTGGAACAAACTCATCGCTCCTATGCGAGCATGTAGTTCTCTCGGCCAGTTTCAACTATCAATTGGTGAATTCCTCCTATCTAACGAATCCCATCAATCTGTTGACGGCCAAGCCACAAACGGTAATACTGTGTACAGTGGTGCTACTGGTACCTAGATTCAAGGGAGACTAACAGCAATGACAAAAGTATACAATGCTGAAGAGCAAACGCATTAGTTAAGTTAAAATCTAATTTTTTTAAATGACAAGGAGTGAACAGGAAGCGGGGTGCGATACGATATGCAACAGTAAACTCAGTAGCTCCTCGAATATAACCTACATTTCTTCGTAACCTAACTGATCTCACGACTTAACACTCATTTCCTAAAAATCATCCCTTAAAATAATCTCTCTACTCCGAAAAGATAAAAGAACTGTTGGTCGGTGCATTTTCGTAGCATGTAACATGTTTTATTATTTGCTATTCGTTACCAGTACGAGATTTCTAGGGTGAGGGCGCCAAGCTGTCTACGCAGAAGGTGTAGAATGGTGTTCACTTTGGTTCTCATACCCTTGTAGTTGGAACTGGTGTTCAAAATGTCGGAAAAGTTGGGCCCCAAATCCCTCTCTGGACACTCTGGTGATAGCATGGTCGCTCAACATGTACTGGAAATCGGTCGTACTTGCTTCATATTTACTGATGTGCATTACTTTGCACTTTTCCAGATTGCTGCAGGTCCTTTTGTAGTGCTGTACAGTCAGCTTCTTCGTTTACCACCCTCCACTGCACTGATATACATCGAAAAGTCTACAAGATTTTGCTGGTCCTGGTTATTACAGTGGGGATGTCGTTAAAATATGAAAAACATCAGAAGGTCACGCTATGAAACAAAGAATAAAGTTCCACTTTACAGCACAGCGTCAAAGTGAAGATGGTAGGAATTCTTATCCTCATATAATGGGCTTAACATGAGTGATACCAGTTCACAAGCACCGTCAATTTGATAATTCTTGGAAGTTTATAGAACAGTATTTGGCATCATGTAATCCACATGCTAAATCATTGACGTTCATGACCTCATTA